ATCCTTCCAAACCAGGCTAGAGTCAGAGGGCCCTCCACCTCCAATCCAGATGTGGAGGAAGTAGATGACTCAGACCCAGGGCCACCATGTGACACCAGGGCAACCACAAAACCACCCCCAGGGTGGGATGCTGACTTCTCAGGCTCTGCCCCAGTGGGAGCATAGGGATGAGAGGGCTCCAGTCTGCTCAGGGTCTGCCAGGTCCCCTGTATATGGGGGCTCCCAGATGGGTCCTGCCAGGGCTGGGCACTAGGAATTGAGTGTCCATCTCTCAGCTGCTGGATCTCTAGCACCAGAATGGCAACACCTCCCAGCTGTCAGGACTGGGCTCTTGTCCCCTCCTGCCCAGGCACAGAGGACTCCCTAGGAGGCCTCAGGAACAGTGGCATTCAGGGACCATTGCTGTCCTACCCAACATGCTTCCCGAAGATGAATGCAGGGCATAAGTCCATGTCTGTGGGCCACCCTCAAAGGAGCAGTGCACAGGATGGCACTCTCACTCCTCCCAAGTTCTCCCTCTCACCCCACTCAAGTTCTCTGATCCCATACTGTGGGCACAGCCCTCGGAGACTCAACTTGAGGGAGGGTCACATCAACAGCACCATGAGTCTGGGTCAGGAAGGGGCCCTGCTGCTCCCCATCAAACTGGCTCCACAGAAGATTCCCGCAGGGTGGTCTCCGGCCTTATCTGTGCAGCTCTGCTGTCCGGAGGGTACCTCATTAACTCTGCCATCTGTGCTTTATCTGCACATGGGATGGCTCCATGTCAGAGCAGGATAGCAGAGGAGCCCTGCAGCCAGCAGTCCTCCCCCAAACCTCTCCTACACCCCCAGCCAGGTCCAGGGATGATCACTGTCCTGCCTGTGTCTATGCCCCTCCTCCTGACACTGCTACTCAAGGGGTCCCAGGTGGGCTACCTCCTTACCTAGGACTCCGGGACCCCAGCCCTTATTCTGCCTCACTGCTACTTCTGGGCACTCAGCAGAGGGCAGTGCAGGTCCTGCCCCCACCCTGCCCTCTGTACACCCCAGGGACAGCATGGGACCAGCAGGGGCTGTCCTGCTCAGCGACCTGGCTTCCACTCCTTCTCTAACAAACTCCC